ATAATTACTAATCCCTTCTCTACAGTTCTATAAAAATATAAACTTCCCAACCTATGCCTTGACTAAAGAGTTCATCTTCCATTGCTATAGAAAAACATTATCATCAACTTAGGGCTCATTCGGTATTAACTAGATTAAACTCGTGCGATGTATGGATTACAAAAATTATTGAAATATAAGAGCTTATTTCTACTCTTTATTTTCCCGTATATATTTATAAATTAGATCATAAAAGATATATAGCTATCATCATAACATGTGAAAATTTCGTGGTACACCCAAGTGTACCATGAGCATATGGTACACTCGGTTAAAATACATGAGTTATAAAAACGCGGAAAGAACATTGTATACAATTAGAAGTACACGAGCAAAAAAAAAAAAAAAAAAAAAAATTGATTCTCCTCTTGATATAAAAGATTGATTTGTTACTTTTATTCCTTGATTCATTATTTATATTTCATATTACTTTTGATAAACAAAATTATATTTATATATATATATATATATATATATATATATATATATATATATATATATATATATATATATATATATATATATATATATATATATATATATATATATATCTTCTTTTTTTGTTAAGAGACAGAATTGGGTTTATAAAGAGAAAAACTATAGTAAATTTTGAATTTCAAAATGATTTAATGTTATTTCGGAGATGATTTTATCGTTTTAATGAATCATTTAATTGAAAGATCGATGTAATTGACAAATTCGTTGTTGAGTGAAAAGGTATTTTCAAATAATGTTTGTTATCAATTTTTATGTTTTGTTGTTATTTTCTAAAGTTGAAGATGATGTTCTTTCTATTTTGATAATTGTTCTTTTATCATTTTTTATTTGCAATGAAACATATTTTTTAAGTCCGATCAATATATATTAATCATATTCTTTACAATCTGTTCTTTACAATACAAATTAAACAATGTTCTTTAAACTACATGTTCATTACAATACAAACAATGTTCTTTAAGGTAATATATATTGATCATATTATTTGGTTATAATAATACAAATTATGTTCTTCGAGTATAATAGTACAAATTATGTTCTTTTTACTTATATAATATGTTCTTATATTTTGAATTTTGAATGTTTGAAATTTAAGAAAGAAATTTTAAATTATATTTGTGTAAAATTAATTTTAGATAGAAAATTTTTTTATATCTAAATATTTTCTGGTTCAAATATAATATTTTGAAAAATTTGACATTAAAGTATTGGTAAAACTCAATTCATAATTATGTTTTACCTTTTTTATAATAAGTATCTCACAATATATTGTGTTCTTTATATTTCAGTGATATGTTCTTTTATAAATTCATGATGTACTTTATAATTATTTGTTATGCTCTTTCCGCTTTACTTTGGGTGTAATATACGCATGGTACACTCGGGTGTACAAACCAATGATTGAATTACATAAGTAACAAAATATAAAAATGAAAGCCGGTTTCTAGGTATCAATTTATTTATTCCAACCAAAAATAAAATTTATTTATTTATTTAGTGACACATTCAAAAAGAATGAAATGAAAATGATTAAAAATAAAAAAATAACCAATTCCTAAAAAAAATGACATCATAAATGCATTTGGCGGGAAAAATTCTCATGACAAAGTAACACATATACATTTGAGAGATAGGATGATGTCAGCAGATTTTTGTTTTAGTAATAGTTAATAAATGTCTATGGCTTGTTTGACATCGTTTTTTTTTTTTTTACAAGAATCAAGAAAAAGGAGTTTCTTCTTTTTTAAAGTCAGTTATCAAAATTATTGTAAGTTTTATAAGTTTGACTATTTTTTTTATATGACATATATCATATGATTTTAAAAAAATATAAAACTAAAAAACAAAAAATCATAGTATTGTCAAATGCGCTTTTTTTTTTTTTTTTTTTTTTTGTGCGCGTCTTTAAAGTCATATCATATATGATATATGTTAGAAAATGATTCCAAAATAGTTTGACTCATTAAAATTATGATTAAGAACCTTAAATAGTTTGATTCCAAAATAGTTTGATTCATTAAAATAGTGAATAATACTTTTTATCATTTGATAATCTGATATGAGCTTTATGTTTTTCATTTGATCTAAAATAAATATTAAGAACCTTAAATAAAGTGAATTAAATATAGCCTTACATCTAATCCCCACTTTTGTCCCTATTTTTCACTCTATACGGGTACTCCAATTATTTATTTTTATTATTTGTAAGTTTAATATTAACTTTTTTTTACTTAAATATGTAGTGACAAGTCTTACTTTGACCACAATTTTTAAAAGGCAAGATTTGTCTCAACAACACGAACTTCTAACAAGGCGCACGTAATAACATGAACTTTGACTAGTAATTATAACAACACAAACTTTTTTATTGGGTACACAAAATATCATTAATGACATTAAAAATAGAGATTTTTTTGAAGACAAAGATATAGATGGTCATCAAATATGCAACTCTAACTCTAGCTTTGAAAAAAAAAAAAAAAACAGAGGGCGTAATACTTTTGAATTATCAAAAATCGTCTCAGATTGTGTAACCTCAATTTGAATGCAGTAAAAATCAACATATAAGGTTTTTGGGGTCATTTTACTCAGGTCGATTTTGAAATCAAATTTGGAAATTTTTTTATTAAAATACATCAATTTATGTGCTATAAAATTCCTCTGTTAAGGTATTAGGTTAATTTGGACATTGAGGACTAAATCTGATGTCAAATTAGCGAAAAATTAATAACTTTATAAAGATAACGCGTCTTCGACAAAATCTCCTGTATTGGGTTTCATTTATGATATTTTGTGCACCCGACGAAAAAGTTAGTGTTTTTACGACTACTAGTCAATATTCATGTTGTTGCATACAACTTGTTAAAAGTTCTTGATGTTAGGTCAATTTTGCCTTTTTAAAAAATATACTGAAAAAAAAGTTTGAAAAACATCCGCTTTTAATTAATTGTCACAGTTAAAAACAAATATACGGAATATCATTATTTCTAATAATTAGGAGTTATTGACAACAAAAAAACTCCTATGTGCTAAAAATGAAAAAAAGATAATTACTCCCTTCGTTCCCAAAACTTCGACCCTTTTGGCTTAATTTTAGTCCTAAAATGATCAACCCATTTGCATTAAAATACCTACCAATTTACAACAATATTTTTGCAAAATTAGCTTCTCCAAATAAGATTTGTTTTTTCATATATTTTTAATACTTTATCTCTCTACTTTTTATCAAACCCCATGTAAATTTATCTTTTCTATTTAAGTTTCTTAATAATTGCGAAATAAACCCAAAAGGGTTGAAGTTTTGGGAACCGAGGGAATACAATTAAACAAGTAGGCTAGGTAAGAGTAAATTTAAACTTCCTTTGTTACAAAATGAATGCATCACTTTGACTACACATTATTTAATAAAAAATTATTTTTTTTATTAACTTTATATTATATTCCCTCCGTCTCCAAAAACTTCAAACCTTTTGGATTGATTTCACGGTTATTAAGAAACTTAAATAAATAAACATATTGGAAAAATAATTTTACATAGGGTTTGTAAAAAGGTAAAGATATAAAATTTTAAAAATACATGAAAAAAACTAAATTTTATATGGGGAAACTAATTTTGCACAAATATTGTTATAAATTAGTGGGTATTTTAATATAAATGGGTCGATCATTTTGGGACTAAAATTAGACCAAAAGGGTTAAAGTTTTGGGGACAAAGGGAGTACAAGTAAAGCAAGTGAGTTGTACGCCCGTAAATTAAAATATTAATGGTGGCATCTTAGACATAAAATAAAATTAGGTGAATTCTTGTAAAAAAGAACTATAGATAATTAGTTCACAACACACAAGTTTTACAACAAAAATAGACATATACGTATGATTTATATTGATCTTGTACGCCCGTAAAATTGTACAATAATATTCTTATCAACCAAAAAATTGTACTCTGTAAAATTTTTGAAAAACCATAATGCATTACTTTTGTCGACCGGGTTATAGAAAATAAATATTGCTTTTTAAATATTAGAGAAATAGGTGTTAATAGTGTGATTAAATGATATTTGTAGAATAGGTGTTACTCAATATAAAGTCGATTCAAACAATCTATATCCTATTCAAGATGAAATCAGTTCAAAAACTCTATAATAAATTAACCCATTCGGAATCCTAATCGAGGTGAAAGCCAATTGAAAAACTCTATAATTAATTTATCGATTCAAAATCCTATTCAAGGTGAAAATCAATTCAAAAACTCTATAATTAATTAACCCATTCAAAATTCTATCAGAGCACTCGATTTAACATGTCTAGAAGAATATACCAACCAATGACTAAAACAACGTGGTTGCCAATTAATTACAAACATACATTGCAAACACATTGGGTATTTCAGACAAGAGTTTAATTGGGGAGCATATGTCATTGGGTTTCTAAATCCAATACTACTCAAGCCCCATATCTTCTGTGCAATTCTCTGTAAAGGTTCATTGGGTCACAAGGTGGATTATCAACAACTGTTTACTTACAATCTTATTCTAGGACAACAATTCAGCAACACAAATATAAAATTCCAGACAACTAGCCGAATCCTAATCACCAAAATCCACGCATATAAATCATATAAGACAAACTATATAGTACTATAACAATAAGCATTTATACTTTGATAAAATACAACAACAATTATACATTACCAAATAACAAGAAGGTTTATCTATATTTTAATGATTACCAAGAAAGCTAAGCCTTTATTTTCACAGTACCATGAATTTATAACACGTCAATCCAAAAAGTAATAATGCAACAAGCAACTTTTGAAGCATCATATCATACTAAGAAAAATATGGCCCACAAGTGGAAAGTTTAGCAAAAGACTATCAATCAAACTGGTCAAATTTTACAGAAATGAAAAACAGTAAGAAATTAAGATAAAATTTTAAGATAGGTTAAGGAAGGGTAGAACTTACAAACTGAATATGATTTGTGAAAAAAATTCAGTTCTTTCCTTTCCCCTTCTGGTCTGATAGCCGGTTTCCGTCACTGTAATAGAGCTGCAACCCTGGTGGCTGAAACTGGTGGTGGTGGTTGTGGTTGTGGTGGTTTTCGATAATCGTTGGTGACGCGGAAGAAACTGTTGCATTGCTAAGGAAGAAGGGCAAGCTTGATCCGTCTGTAGTAGAAAACCTTTGGAGGTAAGACAACAGAGACGGAGAATTGGACTGAAGGGTCCCCCTATTATTGAAACCAGCGGCTAAGCTGGGAGTAGGAGTAGAGGAAGAGGAAATGCTGAAATTTAAGTTATAGTCATTTCCTCCCCCACTTGCTCCGGGTGAGGCCGCTGCGTTTGCGACTTGTATTAGGTGTTGTTGGTCTGACATGAAGGGGAAATGCTGGTGCTGGTGCTGGTAAAGTTGATCATGGTGAGACTGATGCTGATGATTTTCCGACCCCCCAAAGGATGAAATGGTCATCACTTGGGGGAGTGATGATGTATTGTTTCCCATTTGGATCTGACCTGCCCGAGATGAGGACAGGCCCATGAGTCCGGTACCAAAGTAATCTGCCATAGGAGTTGTACTTGCAGCAGCTGCTGATGATAACCACTGATTGTTGTTACTGCCGCCTCCTCTTGAGTGTTTATGAAACAAATCTACTTCTGAATCTACACGGTGATGAGGCGAAGGGCTCGAGCTCGCTGCTGCTCCGTTGTTACTCTCATTCAGATTGCTCATACCCGCCGTCAGTAACTGAGTGAAAGACGATGTTTGAGGCATTGAGCTTACATTCTGATGGTGTTGGTTATGTTGATGGGAAGCAACACTAACCCTTGATGGTTCACCATCTCTTTCCTTATCCTTCGCCGTCCTCCTCTCCCTCGCTCTTTCCCTTGCCTTAACTCGGTTCTCAGACCGACAAAGCGACAGACCAGATCCTTTACTTGTTTCCGAATTGTTGCTACAACACCCTGATTTTGTACTCATTTGTTGCTGGTTATGACCATAACCAGGGTCACCATCTAACTCCACATCTGCTGAATCTACACCATTAAGAGTAGGCTTACGCTCATCACTCAACTGCCTCGGAGTCTCCGGCGGAAAACTGCTAGTATTCAAAGACGGAAGCTCGTTGATAGCATCTGCAGCCGCTTTAATCAGCCACTCAACCGCTTTACTTGGCTGGTCATACCCCAACCTGTCTTGCAGATCATAGAACTGGATTGCCGTAGTAACAGACAGTCTAACACGACGATCTCTTGGCCCTTTCGCCGTCAACACCTTACTATGACGGTCTTTCCCTCCACTCGCTCTCGAAACCCTAATTATCCTAGATGAAGGTTGCCACTGCCTCCCAAACCTGTTACTACTCCCCACTTGCATATCCCCTCCTACCCCTCCGCTGCTGCCGTTTCCCGTTACAGCAGCGGGGTTCGTGGAGGTAGTGGTGGTGGGCACGATAGCCCGGCGGAGGTCTGTTTCCTCTACTTCATCTCCTCGGCCGGCACTGTCGTGCCCACCACTACCTCCCCCTCCTATCTTAGAAGTATCAATTCTACCATTAGAATTAACCCTAGAGTACTTGCAAGCTTGTTGTGAACTCTGAATCTCGTCCACCTCCATACCATCCCACTTTCATAATAACCACAAATAAATATCAGCTTTTTTTGTCTTTCTTTTGCTCCTCCTTCCTACTTGCCTCTTTTCCTCCCAGCTGTCAGAAGTGTGAGCTATAAAAGTAAAAAAAAAAAAAAAGAAAAAAGAAAATAGATATTTCAGTTTTTTTCTCTCTTTTTTTTTTTTTAGATTTTTGAGGGTGGTGAGGCTGTTATTAGTATGTCCTATCTCTTATGCATTGATGACGATGTATCAGAGTTATTGTGGCTTTTTCTGCAACAAGAAAAAAAAAATACATAGAAGAAAAAAATAAAACGAAAATATAAAAAATGCTTTAATCACAATTCAGAATTCAGTATGTACTGCTGCTGAAACACTGCTACAGTAAGCAGCCTCTTGTCTCTTTAAAGCAAGCTCTTTTTTATTTTTCTGCAGTGATAAATAATTAATCAATAAAATTTAAAACAAAAACTGAATCACTTCAACAACTACACACAATAACCACTAACCGCACTCGGTATTGTATGTTATTATTACATTACAACAATGTAAATTTATTATTTTCGTCAAATGCAATAAATAAAATCTTAAAAATAGAAAATGTACAAGTATTAGTACATTTTTTAATAAAAAGAATGGAAATGAAAGTAGAAAAAGGAGCATCAGATACTAAGTTAACAATAATAATAATTTATAATAAAAATTTAAGTAGTACAAGTACTAAAGAGAGTGTAATAAGCTACTATGAAGTTATTTTTAGTTTAGGCATAGGTAGATAGCTAAGTTAGTACAGTAGCTAGTGAGTTGTAAGTTGAGATCTGAAATTGTTTATAGTTAAGCACATACCTAAAACCAAGACTTTTTTATGCTCTCGAAAAAGCTAATTAACCCCAAAAAGCCTATTTTTTCTCTCCCTTTTCTCTCTAACCTAAACAACAATAATATTAATGACCTTTGATCATCATCATATTATCAAAGTTTCTTTCACCTTTTTCTGGTTTAGATTGGAATTAATGGTTACGATAATTACTCATATTAATTTAGCTAGCTTATTTAGCAGTAAATATTTTTTTTTAAAGACGACAGCAACGACGACGAGAGGGCATTAATACAAGCTTTAAATTTACCTGCGTAATTACTAGCTCTCAGGTTCTTGGATCTACAACTTCTGCAATGCTCTTTCTAACCTGTTGAACCAAAATTTTAAGATTATTATTTAGAATAAAAATAAGATTTTAGTTAAATTTTAATTTAAATGGGAATTTCCTAATTGAAATTAAGCTCCAAAAAATGCGGAAAGATAGGAAATAAAAATTACCCAAATAAATAAAGCATTAATGTGAAGAGAAATCAGTTAATTCAGTTGTAATAAGGAAAATGAAGAAAGAAAGGGGAAATAGTAGGGTTTGAAATTTGAATGTTTTTGTTGTGTCGGGAGAATTAAATTTTAAAAACAATTAATATTTTTTATTTGAAGTAATAAAATAAATTGCCGGATAATGAGTGAACAGTAGGAAAAATGAAGGAAGAAGAGAGAGAAAGAGGGTGTGTTTGTATGTATATGTATGTTCTCAATCAATGCCCTAAGCTTTCCCCCATTTGAGCAACCACCGGTCTTATCGGGAAAGGACAGACGACACTTCGCGTTTCTACCCCCTTAAATATCTCTCTTTTTCATTCCGATTTTGCCCTTCGTTATATTATTTCTAAGATGTAACAATAGAGTTTAAATAAGGAAAAATTGTCAGGAACTACATGCTAAATAGAAGTATTTGGAAACAACTACCCACTAAAAAATTTTATCAAAAGAACTATCCTGTAAATTTAAAAAATTAGAGTAGCACTACCCATTTGCATTTTCCGACGAGAAAATCCGGCGTGTGAGGCCCACTTTTTCAATTTTTCTTTTAAAAATTCCTAATTGAAGAAGTGAAAACAAGTGGGGTATGTAATTCATAGGTAATTCTTCTCTTTTAATCCATTAATTATGAATTTTGATGTTAGGGTGTAACAATTAGAAAAATTAGGGTTTTTAGAAATTGGGGATAATTTGAAATTGGTTGAATTTATTGCTTTTAATTCAAATTGGTTATCTTAGGTTTACAAATTAAGGTCCAATTTGTCATTACATCATGTCTTTTCAGAGAAAAATTGAAAAAGTGGGCCTATGCGCCGGACGTTCTCGTCGGAAAAAAGCAAATGGGTAGTGCTGCTCTAACTTTTTAAATTTATGGGTAGTTTTTTTGATAAAATTTTTTAGTGGGTAGTTGTTTCCAAATACCCCTATTAAGCGTGTAGTTCCTGACAAATTTTCCTTTATATAAAGAAAATGATACTCTTTCCGTCCCAAATTACTCCGTACTTGCAACGCTTTGACTTTTTAAACTATTCACATATCTCACTTTGACCATAATTTTTAGCTATTACGTGAAAATCAATATAATCATGTAAGGTATTATTGGATTTATTTTAATGTATATTTTCTTAATATAAACTTTTTATACCTTATATAAGTATATAATGAAAGATATTGATGGTCAATCTTGTGCATCGGCTAACGTGTTTAGTCAAAATATTACAAGTAAACTAGGACAGAGGGAGTACACATAACCCTTAGAGCTATGTATAACAAGCTAAAAAAGGAAATAATGGGAAAAAAATAACGTTAATTACACCAATCTGCGCGTGATTTGTCATGAATTCCCAACTTAGGGCCTGTTTTCATAGACGGAACTCAGCTGAAATGAACTAAACTGAATATTTTATAAGAGAAGGAAATTAAGAGCTAACTGAACTGAAAATAAACGTATGAGAACAGGCCCTTAATTCCATTTTATAAAGTATATTTAATGCTTATAAATAACCCTAACGACTACATATATCATATCATTATCCTTTAAATTATTAGGGTTTTTTTTTTTTTTTTTTTTTTTTTTTTTTTTTTTTTTTTTTGCGTGTGTGTGTGTTCTACCCGGATTACACTTTGGACAAATTCGGATTTGGGGATCATGGGTGGTTAGGTTCCAGTCTCCTCCCAATTGTTGTTGCTGGGTATCGAACACGGGACCTCCCTACCAAGTGTATTCCCAATCATCACTACATCAACAACCAATTGGTAGAATTTAAATAATTAGTGATGGTAAAATAAAATGGCAATAAATTAAGTACGATCATTTAAAGCAACTTTCTCTTTTTTTTTTTTCTTCTTTTACAAAATTTTGAATTTACTACCAAAGAAATACAAATTGCTTTTGGAAAATTTGTCAAAAATAACATCACCTTTAAGCGGTCTTCCTTAAATAACACCTCCTGTTGATTATTCCACAATAACACCACCCTTGACACACATCTGCCAAAAATAAAACGTAACCTGTTGGTAACCTGTTAAAAAGGTTACTAGTGACACGTGTCACAATATCATTAATTAATTTTTTTAAGTTTTTTTTTTAAAAAAAAACCCTTACAAAAAACAATACTTAAAATTTTTATTTTTAAAAAAAACTTCCTCCTTGACAGCCACCCCACAGTTGGGCCTCCCCATAACCGCCGGCGGCCAGAGCCCTAGCATCCTACCCCGGCGTCAGCGACACCTCTCCTAACCCAGACCCCGACCACCATCTCCTTCCACTGAACCACCTTCCCCCTGCCCTAAAACCCTCCTCATTCACCTTAAAAACCCTCCTCCCTCCCCTCGAAAACGCTCCTCTCCCCACTGGCCGGCGCCAAACCACCTCCATTGTTCCGGCGAACCAATATCGCCCTTCCAACAACCGTCTCCACCCCCTTCCCCCCTTGAATCACCACCCGAAACTTTAACCCCAAATTGTTGTGGTGGCTTTTGTTTCCCGAATCACTACCCCCCCATAAAACTTTAACCCCAAACTTTAAGCCCTCGGATTTGTTTCTTGATGTTCGAGAAAGAGGGGGGGGGGGTGCTGCAAAAGTGTCGGGAAGGGGAGGAGGTTGCAGGAAAGTAGAGGGGTGCCGGAAATGGGGTCGGAAAGGAAGGGGTGTCGAAAATGGGGTCCGGAAGGAAAGGGGTACGGTGTCGGAAAAGGGGTCAGGAAGGGGAGGGGTGCCGGAAATTGGGAAGGGGGCCGGGGAGAGGGTGGTTTCAGGTGGGTGGTCCTGGTGGGGGGTGGTGGAGGCCGGTGCAAGGGGGTGGGTAGAGGGGTTTATTTTTTATTTTTTTAGTTTTTAGTTTTTTTGTTTATTTTTTTAAAATCAAAAATTAAAAATAAAACTGACAAATCATAGTAGGACACGTGTCCCAAGGTAACCTGTAAAATAGGTGACCGGTTTTTTGTTTCATTTTTGGCAGATGTGTGTCAAAGGTGGTGTTATTGTGGAATAATCAAAAGGTGGTGTTATTTAGGGAAGACCGCTTAAAGGTGGTGTTATTTTTACCAAATTTTCCATTGCTTTTTTACAAGCCGAATTTCTATTAACAAAAATAAAATAGTTCACCATCACTAAAAATGGGGTGAGCAAAAATTTAAGGTACCTGACCTAGAACCGGAACCGGAACTTGGTGGGAACCGCAGGTTCCAAAATGTGTAGAATAGGTTCCGAATTTGGGTAATGAAATTGGGAACCTGTTGCAACAGACAACATGTTTTGGTTCCGGGTAATAAAATTTTGGACCTAGAACCTATAGGGTACCCTGTTAGTACATGTTTCTTTAGGATACATGATGGGTGTCATAAATGGCACAAATTTGATGAGCATTTGGGTTATTTTTACATTCTTTTCATAGCTTTCCTTCTTAATAAATGCATAGTTTCATGCTTTAGCTCTTTGTTTCACCTTTTCTCTCTTATTTTGTGGTTTTGTGCATTTTGATGGTTTTTCTAGTCTTTTCTCCTTTATTTTTTCTCTTTTTGTGGTTTAGGTATTGTACGAGGTCCGGGTCTCGATAGTGATGATTTTCCATGTTAGAAGATGCTTGTGGAGTAAGCTCATAGCATTGAGAAAGCTCAAGATGCAAGGAAGTGGATGCTCCAAGTTCTAGCTCTTGCGCTCTCGAGCCGTGCTCCCATGAAGAAGTGGTGTTGAACCCACCAAAAGTTCTCAAACTTTCTGCCTATACCATCATGCATCATCCGGAGCTCGCGGGTTTATATCGAGCGCACGAAGCGACGAAGAAGACGGAAGAAACTCATATTGGAGAGGGCGTGCGGGCGCGCAACCTAGCCGCGCGAGTGAGCGTGGGTAGGGAGAGGGCGCGCGCCTCTTCCTACGCGGGCTCTCCTCCCTGTTTCCGGCTTCGTTCGTTTTTCTTTTCCGCGCCTCTATAAATACCTTTCTTTAACCGATTTTTGTAGGAAGTTTTAGACATAATTTTGATTATATTCTTAGCTTAGTTGAGAGCTTCTCTCTCTAGTTTCAGGGTTAGTTTAGGAGTAGATATTAGAGAGAGAAAGTGAGGAATTTCAATGGTGATTGGGAGATTGAAGATTCAATGGTGACAATTGTGTTGAAGATCTTCTCTATTATCAATGAGCATTTCTAACTCTATCTCATTTTATTACTTTGTTTAATATTCTTGTTTGTTTGGATTGATTTTGATGTTTGATGCTTGATTATTAGTGTAGTTGTTCTTCATATATTTTTGATTTTCGATTTCCTTAGTTGTTTGTTGATTAGATGATAATGTTAGAGTAGTTGTTTGGGCAGGGATTGGGTAAAACTTGCATAATTAATTGATTGTGCTTAATTTGGAAATTGTGTTGATTAATTGTTGAGATTAAAGTGATTAATGGAAATTGTGCATGTGTGTAATTTGATAGGCCTTGAGAAATAATCTAGATTAATTTGTGAGTCTACATTGATACGGACCATTGATTTGTAGCTTGCAATTATCGATTGAGTTTGATTTGTGACGTTCCTAGTTAGTGTCTCTCGTAGTTGGTGCTAGTTAAACCTCTAAGAGATAGCTTGTCGACCTCTTTTGATTGCTCTTACCATTAGTCTTTGCAACCATTGATTTGCATATTGTTCCCTAGTTGCTACAATTGTCATGATTACTTATTGATCCCTGTTCCTAGTGCTTTATTTGTTTGGTTCTTGTTATTAGTTGTTAGTGTTCTCCTTTTATCCATAGACTTTGACCTAGCTTAGGCACATAATTGAGAGCGCTTGAACATTACCGTTCCTTTGGGTTCAACCCTTGACTTGAATCTATACTTGTATTTAGGTTTGTTAAGTGTTTATAAATTTAGTTTGACCGAGGGAGGATTATTTCAACGACCTAGTTCCACCCCTCGTCAAAATGGCGCCATTGTCGGGGAATGGTGTCTATGTTTGTGTGTTTTTTATTGCTTGAGTCTAGGTCTTTGTGTATACTTCTCTTTTATTTGATTTTTGTTTGCTTTGTAAAAAAAAGCATGTCTCTCATTTCCTCAATATAACAATGAGCCTTTTTGTGAATATTTCAATAGACTTAAGGGATTGCTTGACTATAATTGTTGTAGTCTTTGGGAGGCTTGTGAGATTTGTTATTTTTGTTTGAATGAGCAAACTAAAGACATAATTTAAAACATGTTTAATGGTAGATTTCGAGCATTGTCAATCGATGATGCTTGGGATTTTTATGTATGGTTTGCTAAAGATACTTGTGATCATGTTCA